TCCTCCTTCCTCCCCCACCCCCCCGTCCCGAAGGCTAAGCAGGAATCTTCCCCTGTGGGAACGTGCTGGGACAACCCCGCGGCTGAGCCCTGCGGACCCCCCGTAACCCTCGTTTCCTCCCCCCATAGCCGTGCTGTTACCTGGGCTGGGTTGCGGGCAGGGGCTCGGCGCGGGGCTCCCACGCTCGGCTCCCGGGGGCCGCGCCCGCCGCCGCTTTATGGAGCCGGAGCGCCGGCCCCGCCGCACTGATTGGGCAGCGGGAAGCGGGCCGGGGGCAGGACGGGGCCGGGGATGGGGCTGCGAGGAGGAGGGAGCTGGCAAGAGAGTCGGGGCAGGGGGAAAAACAAGCCGAGCGCCCCGCTGAGCTGCTCTGCGATATTTCGTCTGTCCCGTTTAGGGGAATGGCAAAAGGAGGGGGGGTTGTTTTTCCTTCCCTTTTGCCGTCCCGCCGCTCCAGCCCCCGAAAACATATCCCCCTCTTCTCGGAAAGCAGCGGTGGGAGCGAATCCAGGGCTTTCTGCGGCGTTTACATTAGCAGCTGCCTTTGCATAACTCGCAGGCATGGAAATGAGTCGCCCTGGGTAAACAGGACAAGCAGGGAAGGGGGGAGAGGAGTGGGAGCCCCCCTGCACCCCTCGTGTTGGACTCTGTGTTTGAGGGCTGCTGTTGCTGTGCTGCACCCTTCCAGCACGGATTTACAGTCCAGACCCTCACTGCAGGGCACCGTGACCCCGAGGGAGCACCCGTTGATTGCCCGATATTTTTCCACCCTTGATGCTTGCTTCCTCTCTCATCCCCGCTCCTGGTCGGCCCTCCAGCCCAGACCCAAGGGGCAGTGCCAGTGCTTGCTCCATACACATCCATTCCCAGCACCCAAGTGCCAGGACAAGCACACGCCTGCCTTGGGGTGACAGGAGCTACCCAACGCTGGCACCCACCTCCTCGAGAAGCCTGACCCTCTGTGCCATCACAGCCATCCAAAGCACAACCTCTGCTCAGTTGGAGGTTGGGGACACAGTGGCCCTGGAGAGCCGGATCCTCAGCCCAGACTAACTGCTGGCCAAGGGCTTGTCTTGATTTATGGCCCATCTGAGAGCCAGGTCCCCACCCTGCCTGCGGGACAACCTGCCTCATTCTTTGCCACCGCATTACAGCAGCCACAAGTGCAAGTTAATCCCTCAGGGCTCACCAGGATGGAGGTGTAATTCAGGTGCTTTTCACCTCCTTGCATAGTTTAGGCAAATCAGAGCCTCCAAGCCAACTGCTTACCTCCCAGCAGCCTATACCTTGCTACCTTCCTCCAGTATCCAAATTCTTGCACCTCGTGTGTAAAGCAAAGATTTCGATTCAGAAGGGGTTAGGATCAGCACACAGAACCGTTTTGGAGGTGACAAGCAGGCACTGACACTCTCAGTGTAGGGGGATGAGGTATCCCTGCTGCAGCCCCAAGCAGGGCAGAGCGGGGTGCCTCAATAATTTCTCACCTCGGCTGCCTCCTTCCCTGACTGGATCTTGTTCCATTTCCCCATTTGGCACCCACGTTTTGCCCCCAGTGTCACCCCACAGCAGAACCCAAAGCCAGAGTTCAGCTGCGGTCACCCAGAGTGGCTCAGCTGAAAGCACAGGAAGGGATGCTGGCGCTTAGGGAGACCCAGCAGCAAAACAGCCCCCAAAAAGCGGGGCTGCCTCTGGAAACCTAACGCCTGGGTTTACCTAAATGGTTTGTTTAATCGGGACACCGACAGCTCCCGTTTCCTAGAAATGTGCTACCTGCGACTTTCTCAGAAGCGGTGGCCAGCTCAGCTGCCTGCCAGCCAGCCCCGGGGCACCCACGGCCAGCAGCCCCCGGCGTTGGCACGGCCCATCTCCTGCAGCACAACATGTTTACGAGACAGCCGAGAAGCGGCGGAGGCTCCCAGCGCCCTCTCACGGGAAGGCGGCCGGCCTCCTGCCGCCTGTTTACCTCCTGCCTTCCCTTCTTCCTCCCCACCGCCTGCTGGTCTTTTGAGGAAGCTCAGCCTTGTGACCCCTCCTCGCCGCGGGGCGGGGGACAGGCGTGGTGCCGAGAGGTGACACCTCCCGAAGTTGGCTTTAATTCAGCCTTCAAAGCCACGAACCCGCAGAACACAACGTGATCCGGGGCTGGGTGACACCGAGCTCTGTTGCCTTCGGACCAGCGGTGCAAACCCTGCACAAACCTCTCCATCAGAATCTGGTGGATTGCGATGCTCTAGTGCAGACCTGATATGCTAAGCTCAGGTAACCATTGCCTTCCACCTGCACTAAAAGTGTTTCTTAAATCCAAATGAATGATTGTATAGGTCCATTGAATGTTGGGTTGAAAGGGACTTCCAAGAAAACCCAGCCCCACTCCTGCCATGGGCTGCCTGCCCCCCAGCTCAGGCTGCCAGCTCCCATCCATGGCCTGGGGTACCTCCAGGGATTGGGCACCCACAGCTCTGGGCAGCTCTACCAGCACTTCACCTTTTCTTTTCTTAAAATATAAGCATCACACAAGGAGTAGGAATGGTCTATTTTGCTGTGATGGATTAGATGCTAAGAAGAGGCCCGGCCTCTGACACAGCTGGGAGAAAGGTGAGAAGAGCATCTCCCCCTGTGCCCACCAGCCAAGGCAGCTGTATCACTTTCAAACTAGTCTGCAAAACCGCTGCTCATTGTGTGATGCCACACAGGGCACAACTGAAATGCGGCCAAGGGACAAGAGCTTGGTGTCTGACTACGTGCCACCTCCACCAGCACGGCCAGCTGGGACCTGCTCACACATTGACACCACTGCATCACCCCCAGAGGGGCTCACGGGGGCGAAGCCCTCTACCCATGGGTTAGCAAACCCAAGGCCTTAGCGAGACGAGCTGCTGTTTAATTAATTAATTACCACTCTGCCCTCAAACAGTAGTCACCCAATGAGGACAGGGAGCTCAGCACGGCGCCAGGGGACTGACCTTGCGTGGGCAGCGGTGGCCAAGCGGTGTCCCCAGGAGTGCAGTGGGAGGCTGCCCACCTGATAAGCGAGCAAACATTGCAGGCTCCGCAGCATGCTGCCTTTGAAGGTGCTGCCAGGGTCAAGGGTGGCTGTGGGGTGGTGACCGGAAGGCTTGCAAAGGCAGAGCAAAGCTGGCGATGACCTGAGCTGCACAGAACGGTGGCGTAGGAAAGCAAATTAATAAAAACGTGCGGAGGCACATGTGAAAAAGAAAGTCCCTCCCCACTCAGCTTCCTCCCCTTCCGCATCCCCCACCAGCCCACCTCTTTGCTTTTGCTCAGAGCAACACGCTCGGCATCGCGAGCCCAGAACCCACCTGGCTGCTCTGCAGCAAGCAGGGACACCGCTGTGAAGCACGTGCTCTTCCTTCAAGCGTGGCCGGGGGAAGCTGGAAGATGAGAACCAGGCAGGCAGGGCGGGGGATTTGAGACCCAGAGATTGCTTGGCTCTGCTCGCTCTGTACAAGGGTGGAGAATATCCTAGGGAGCGCTCAGCGCATGCCTTTCCTTTGCAGTTGGAAATTGGTCACAGTGTGCATTGGCAATTTTTTTTTTTCCTTTGCTTGCTTTCTTCTTTTTCTTTCTTTTTTTTTTTTTTTTTTTTTATTAGCACAGTTCATGCTGCTAAGCGTGCTCCCTGCTAGTTCAGGGCCATGTTAACTGTGACTGGCAGATTAATCTCAGCCTAATACACATCACAGCTTTATTAAGGAGCGCGGGAATTCTCCCGAGTGCATTCAGTGGCAGGATCAAGGCCTGACATTGCACACTGTACAAGGTGCTGCAGTGCTGCCTGCATGCCTTCCTTACAGCTGGATCGCATCCCCCAGTCCCAGCTGTGCTCCACTTGGACATATGCAGGATTAGGGGTGATGCTGCTGGAGAGGGAGCAAGGAAATGCAAAGCTTGCTACAGGGGCAGTGTGTCCATGGCAAATCCCAAGCAAAGAAATCACAGACAGATGGCAGTAGGCTCAGAAATACTTCTAATTAACATCAGGAAACACCAGAGATGTCCTCATTGAGCAAACAAGTCTTAGGCACCCAGGAGAGTGAGCATGAAAATTGCATTAGAAAAAATAGGCTAATATATTCAAGGCTAAGGCTGAACTGCTGCACCCAAGACTTCGTATAATTAATTGTGAGGTGCTACAAGCCCAGAAGGATCCCACCATTGCTGATGTATCGAGGTATCCTAAACTATTCATATCAGAACAGCCTGAGGGTGCATGAGGAAAAAAATCCAGTAGTATTCATGCATAGAATACTCATGTCAGGCTTGCGAAGCCTGGGCACCGCAGTGATGTGTGCCACCAAAAGCACAGCAGAGTTGTGTGTGGTTGCCCTGCTCCTGTAAAGTGGGTGGATCTGAGAGGCTGTGAGCCCACGTGGATGCTGCAGGCGTCCAGGTTCTGGCGACCCTGCAGCCACACGGCCTTGGACTTTGGTGTTGTAGTGGGGCAAGGACCCGAGCCCTGAGCCCCAGGCACGTCCCTTCTGCCAGCACCGTGTGTGGGGCTGCCAGGGGGCGGAGGTGGCCTCAGGTCTGCTGAGGGTGGGCTGCTCTCAGGAGCGATACTGACGCAGTTGGTGTTGCAACTTTGCCCGTATCTTTGCGCAAAGAGCGTGGCCACCCCAAATCCCTCTGTGAGCCCCCTCCTACCCTTCTAAATCTGCTCAATCTCAGCCTACGTGAGCCTCTTTTGCAAGGCACCTTTGCAGCGAAGTGGATGGGGCAGCTGTGCACCAACCAGCTGTGCTGAGCAGAGCTCCGTCCTGCCGAAACACCACCTCACCTCGGGTAAAGGCTTTATGGAAACGGTCCCGTGCTTTTCCATGGTAACCGTGCCGATCTGTTCCAGCTCGCAGCCTTGATCCTCTCCTGGCAGGGCTGGCTCGGCCCTGCTGAAGTCAGCCCGGAGCCGTGCTGACACGAGCAAAGCTCTGAGGATCTCACTGCACGCTTGTTTGCAGACCAATTGGCACCTGGAATGAGCAACGTTGCTCACGGCTCAGCCTTCCCTGCATCATTTGGGGGGACTGACTTCTGGGCTGATGTGCCCCCAGCCCTGGTGTGCTCCCCGACCAGAAGAAGGGGATGGTGGCTGCCCACGGGGCAGTGCTCAACCCTATCCCAAAGCCAGCATCCCTCCCAGTGCACACGCGTGTACAGGGACAGCTCCGGCAATCTGCAAATAAACGCTCAGGGTGACAGAGTGTGTCGATGCCCCCACACCATTAACCTTCTCAACACATCACTGCCCAGCTGTAAAACCAGCCGTGCCTCTCTACTCATCACGCTGGGGACGGGAGCAGCAAGGAGCCATCCCTGCGCTGGGGACAGCGTCGCATTGCTGGTTTGATAGCGCCATCTGGTGAGGTGACCTCGCTGCTGGGGACCGGCTCCAGAAAGATGGCTCGACCCGCTTCTCTTCCCCGAGGGCACCAGGATTCCACGGGCTGGTCCCCACCAAAGCAAGCTCAGACCTGCCGCAGGCAACCTGGGCTGGGGCACCAGTGGCCTCAACACAGTTAAGACCAGCCTTTCTCTGCTCTCCTGCTCAGTTAACGTGATGCTAGAGCTGTCAGGGTTTCCCCTCCACCACCTGCTACTTCCAACCCAGGCTGCATTTGATTTGGCATTTCTTTCCTCCTCTTCCCAGGAGGTCTCCAAAGGTGGGCATCAGTCCCAACTGGGAGCCAAGGGTTGCTCTGTTGAGGCGAACCGTAGCGGAGTCTCCCATGAGACATCAGTTGCCACCTGCACGAATGCCCTGACACCAAACATGGCACCAAGGTGCTACCGAGAGCCTGGTTTGAAGGCAAGAAGCTGACCCGAGTGGGGAGATGGGAAGGTCTTCATTTCAGGACTGCCCAAAGGACTGGCAAAGCTGGAGCTACAGGAAAGTGCGGAGAACACTGCAGCCCCCAAGAATCCTCTGTGTCCCTGGAGATCAGGGCTGGGACAATTGTGTCACAAGCAGCACAGTGATCTAGAACACATCCTCAGGACACAGCAACACGATGGCCACCAGTGAGTGAACTTTGCTAGAGCAAAGCACACTCTGAAGAGGAAAAACAGCATTAGATCCTCCCTATGGCACAGCCATGCCTTGATGCTGGTGGGCATTTCCAAGGGCTTCCAACATCAGCAGGTGCTGCCAGTCCACTCCAGGTCTTTCAGAACCAAGTACAAAAATTCAAGGGATAGATTTTGGGTCACTACCAAAACTGACACACTGCCTCCAGGTCCTGGGTGTTTGGAGTGGATGTCTGCAGTCACTGCTGCTCTACCTAAAGACACAACCTGCCTGATGATGCCTGATAATTCAAAGGAAATGCTGTAGCATTTGTACTCAACCTCCACAAACCCTTGGGTATTTAGCAAGTGGCCATTCAAACTTCCCAAGTCCTACATGCAACTGAACCACATGGTTTCCAAACACCCTGTGTCAGCAGCCCACAGCACATAGGTGCAGTAGGACCTCAGTGCACCAAACCCCAACTGAGATCACATTTTTTTGAGCGCTGTTCTGTCCTGACTGCTCCCACTTCTCTTTTGCTTTCCAATCCATCTTTCAACAACACAGAGCCCAGGTAACTTTCTCTTCTTCCCCTGCAGCAACTATAGCCTCCACGGACATAGAGCTGCTGCTGAGAGATGAAGTTTTTGTTGACTTCTTCAACACGTTTCTGAACCTTCCTGTAAGTCTGCTCCTCACCACAAAGCCCAGGATCTTTTGAGTTCCGCGTTAGAGAAAAACTTGGGACTATATTGTGCTCAGGCTGTCAGGGCTAAGGGAAAGCTGGGGACCTTGGCATGGAGGCGTTAGTGAGGTCTGACAGAAGATGATGCCTTCTCTGTAGTGGGAACTAACTAGGACAGCCAGGCTCTGGGCTCCCCCACCACCTTCCATCACATCAAGATCTCCCCATTCCTTTCGATGCAGGTTTTTGGCCAGACACCCATTTACAGCAGCAGCACGGGGCAATGGGACCTCTGGCCAGAGCTGCCGAGCCACCTGGTGAGAAAACATCCCTTGTGAGAACAGAGAAACTGGAGGAAGGGCACCGGGCAGGGGCGGATCGGTTCCTCATTTCTGAGGTTGCTCTTTCCTCCATGTTCATGCAGCCAGGGGTGTGATTTCAAACCCAGGTTTCATTTTGCCTTTAAGCCCTGGGTGGAGCAGAAACCACGGGAAATTGGGGCTCTGGGAAAGGAGGCAAGTGGGGAGGAGAGACAGCAGGGACACAGGCAGCACGAGCATCCCCCCTTCTTCTGCACACGGGAATGGCTCACACTGTTCTCCAGCAACCCCCCTAGCATGGGCCCATTACTCACCCTAATCCCCTTGCAAGAGCCAGCTCCTTGCTCACTGCCTCATCCTCTCCTTGGGCGTGGGGTGCAATGCAGGATCCCAGTCCCCCAGCTCTGCTGGCCTGGCTGGGAAAACACCGGCTGCCTCACTTCTGCAAATCCAGCCTGTGCCTCCTCCTCGTCCTCTGCCAGAAGCTCCTGGGTTTCATTCGCTCAGAGGAAGCAGGTGAGTCATTGCTGCACTAACAGGGCTTCCTCTTGCCTGGTGCCTGCTGAGCATAGCACTGGGTTAAAAAGGCATTGCACAGTCTGGTTTTGGGCTCTTGCTCTGCACTGTGCATCCTATGCTGGGAAACTCATAAAATCATCCAGGCTGAAAAATACTTTGAAGATAATCAAGTCCAACCATCAACCTGACCTAAGGAGTCCCATTACTAACTCGTGTCCCTTAGCGCCATTAATATACCCTGCAAACGCACAACACACACCCTTACCTTACACCCTTACCTCCAGGCAGCATGTCTGGACTTTGCTGATTGCCCCCTTCATTCCAGCCTGTTGTTTTGCCCATCTGCGAGTCAACGCAAGAGTTGGCTGCTGGAAAGAAAGTTCTAGCAGCTGGGATGCAGATCTTTATTTTGGAAAAATAAGGCATTCATCAAGGCTTGTGCCTTGATGCCGTGCTCTGCTCTCTCTCCAACAGCAAGGTTGCTGAACTGGCAGAGCGCGGACCAGTGGCTGCTGGAGAAATGCATCAGTGGGAGCCAGGGCATGTGGCGCTTCCGAGCCTTCACCCAAGGAATGGCAGGTGTGCATGGTGTGCTCTGCAGCCCCTCCACATCTTCACAGCCTTTTCTTTTAATCACAGGCTGCTTTGCTCCCCAGTAAGGCTTTTAATACCACCTCCATCACATCATTCTCTTGTCTGATCCAAAGGGGAAGAACTGACAGACTTCTGGCTCATCACCGAGAGGCTGCTGGGGCTTGATGAGTCAGATGCAATGCAGAAGGACCTCTATCTGTCCTTGGTCCAAAGGCTGAAGGTCACCCACCTGCGTGAAGGTTCCAGCGTCCTTACCCTCTGCGGCACCACTGCCCGTAAGTGGGATGGGAGCTGGTGGCCTGTTGCTGGCTGCTCCCAGGAACGGATGGGATGCCAGCAGCACCTTTGCTTGGCTGGGAATCCCCCATGGCAGCATCAGGTCTGGTTGGAGCCATCTTCACATCATCACTCCCTGCATTCATTTCAGGCTCATCGCGGACACACGTTGAGTCTGTAGGCACCCGGAGGGAGATCCTGAGCAAAATGCAGCAACGGGCCCTGTTTATCCTTCAGAGTTACTGGCTCCCTAAATTCTTCATCCAGTGCAAGATGAACATGGAGGAGAAAAAATCCTGCTGGCCTCTGCTGCAGGAATATCGGGAGCGGTTGGCACAGGGCCATTTGCAGGAGCCCTCAGGCATTTCAGATGGCGTTTCCCCAATGAGAATTAATAGGAGCCAGGATTCACCAGAGCCCTACTGCAGCAGGAAGGCCAAAGAAAAGATCTGGGCTCTTATCAAGGAGGGAAGAGACACCCAAGAAATGAAGATGCAACCAGAAAGGCAGGCAGAGCCAGCCGGGACCACGAAGAGATTGCAGCAGGGTAAAGGTAGTTTGGGACGGATTCGTCAGCAGCCAGAGCGTCCTGCAAATACTGCCATGGGAAGCCAAGGAGGAGCAAAAAGACCTAAGCCCAAAGAAAAACAGGTTCTCCAGCTGGAAGACCTACGTGAAGAGAAGGCCCCCTTCAGCCTACGTTCCTCTACGCCCCTGGCCAAGATGCCGTCCGCCAAAAGGCCAGCCAAGACCGTACGCTACCTCCCCTGGGCCCTCAGTGCTGACAGCTATGCAGGACGGCCCTTCAGGACCTTCTTGCTCTGCCAGGACTGCACTGCTGAAGCTCGTCTCCTGGACCTATGGCACGACCTGGAGGAATTCCTGCCTGTGGTGCTGGACCACAGCAGAGAAAACAGCTTCTCCCTGCGCCATTTCCTCACGGAGAAGATCTGTGAGTCCTATCTGGTGGAAAACAGCATCCAGCAGCTTCCCATGGAGACAATGATCCTCCAAGGCCTGCAGGACCACCTGGCTTCTGCAGAATTCACCCCCTGGATATACAGGACTCAAAAAGAGATTTGCAAGGTAGAGATTGGCAGTGGTCAGACTGTGGGGTACAGCTGGGCCTACACACCCCGACCTGGTGCAAGGGCAGGCTTAACAGAGATATTTAGAAGATGAAGGCGAACAGAGAACAGGGAGGGCAAAACTTATGGTCACAAGTCAGCTTGGACTGGAATCAGTGACCTAGATGCAGCAGACTGGCAGAGAGAAGCATCCCCATGGGTCTGCTGGGCTGAGGAGCAGAGATGAGCAGCCACTGAGCAGCTGGTGGCCTCAGCTGTCAGATGGTGCTCACAGGATGGCAGCCATCCTTTCACATCTGAGTCACTGCTTCCAGCACAACATGACTGAAGCACGTCGTGTACAGCCCACAGCAAAGCTGCCCTTGGCTGTCTCAACACTGTCACTGTGACCTTGGGGTACAGTAAGGGTGCTGGCTGCTATGGGACACATGAGAACAGCTGGGGACACCCTACCTTTTCTCCTCTTCAGGTCCTCTGCACCTACTATGAGAAATTTCTGGCTCATGATGACGAGACGTTCCTCCAGTTCATGGTAAAGGGAATGCATAGGGGTTGTGGGCATCTTCAAGGGGTTTGCAGGTGGCAGTGTGGATGGCAGAAGGGGGGGGAGAGGGAGGGAGGGAAGCTCAGCACTAGCTGCAGTGATCCAGCATCCCATAGGTCAGCCCCTGGGCCATTACCCATCCCAGAAATGGAGAGATCTAAATGCAAAGTCCATGCGAAGCCAGCAGCAGGCAGCATGCTGAGCAAACCACTTCTGGGAATTAATTCTCCCCCTTTTTCCCTGCCTGGACCAAATACTGCTTTTTAATCTGACTCATGGGCAGCTACACATGCATACATCCTTGTCCCAGCACAAACTTGTTGCCAGCATGCTGGAGGAGGAGGATGTGCAGCGTTTTGGCCTCTGATTCAACTGCACTCAAGTTTTCCAAGTATTTTTTTTTGTTTTTGTTTTTTTCCCCACTGTGTAAAGCAGTGATTTAAGTAAGAATTACACAAGCAAACCATCCTTCCAGCAGATATCCCACTCATGCATCATACTTCTCAGTGCCCTGAATGCTACCCTAACTCCAGGAAGCCTCCTCGCAAACAGAAACCTCGGAACATCCTGCATGTTTTGGTCCCTTGCACAACCCACACAGGAATTTTTGCTCACTGCACCTCATGTCTTCAGGCTGACCATTAGGATATTCCCAGAATAGCAATGTAAAAAATCAGCAGCTGGCCCCAGAAATGGTTAGGAGGGTCTGGCAAGGGCAGTGCCCCAAAGCCCCAGCATTGCAGCCCGTGAGAGCCGAGCTCTTATGGAGCAGTCAGTTGGCAGCTGTCAGCTCCTGGCTCTGTTCATTAAATGCTTTTGGTTGTAAGTTAATTAGCTGCCCATGTTTCTAAGCATCCCTTGTCAAGGAAATTACCACTCAGAGCAAATGCTTGGTCTGGGAGTGCAATTAGCACTTGGGCAGGTGTCGGGGCCATGCTCTCCGCAGGCACCATCCCCTAAGCCAAACTCACTGGGGGCTCTCTCTGCACCAGTGTCAGAGGAGCTGCTTGAAGCTTAGCAGGGCTATTTTTGGTGCTTGCTCTCAGCAACATGCAGCTCGGTTAGCAGCCTCTCTGTACCTGCTTGCTGGTGGTGAATGGCCAAAACCTGCACGAGGGTCTCAGTGGGGACAGTGCGTGGCACTCCTGGGACATCAGCCAGAGCCCGCACCAGGGACAGCAGAAAAGAAAACAGTGAGCTCACCTGTCTGTCCATGACACCTGTGTGGCTGTTTTCAATCCTCCTGGATGGATGGTGACCTCTTCGGGAAAGCAGCTGCCTTTGGATGCAGCTGCAGGCAGATGTGAGCCAGCTTTAGGAAAAGTGTGGACAGGTCCAAGTCTTATGCTGAGCTCAGGTTTCTTCCAGAGGTTTAATTTGGATAGGTTTGTAACAGCAAAAATGTGCAGCTAGCCTGCTGGGTGCACTGCAGGAGAAGTTCCTCGAATGGGGTGTAATAGGATGCTCTGTGCCATCACCCTCTGCTCTTCTTGTCAGTCTTCACAGAGTGATGTCCCAGTGCCCAAGGTACAAGGACAAGATCTTGGGAAAGACAAATATTTCCTTCTGTCCGAGCGGATAAATGAGTCCTTGAAGCTGAGCCAGGCCTTGCATGACACAAGGAACTTGGAAGGCCTCTCCCCTGAGCGCTGGCGATCCTTTGGTACTCAAGACCTCCAGAAAAGGGGCATGCTCCAAGTAGAGGTGGAACCTCTTGTAAGCAAAACTGGTAAGAGAAGGCTCTGAATTTCTGCAGGTATTCAGGTTGGCTCAGGCTGATGCAGCATATTTTGCATGTCTGTAGTGACCAAGCCACCAACACACAGATTTTGGCTTAGCAGGGTATCTTGTTTTATTGCTGACAGTGTCACTGGGTGAGTTGGGACAGGGTATCTGCAAGCCACAAGCTGTAATCCAAGCTTTAGCGGTGAGCTTTGGGTCAAATTCGCCCTTCTCAGTACTAGAGGCACCAAATTGCTTGTCCCTGCACTGGCAGGAATGATCATTGTTATCCCACTGCCATACCTTGACCTCTTGGGGAGCTTGGGGTTCTGAGAAATGTAGCATCATGGGTGGATCACAGGAAAAGAACAGAGAAGGGAAAAGGAAAGACAAAGAGTGCTAAGGCAGCACTCAGTAAGCGCTGGAGGACAATCAGAGCCTGCAGGAGATGGATCTGTTCCTTCTTCTCTATCAGATGCAGATTCCCAGAAGATGACATCAAAAGAGTTGGCTGTTCAGAAAGAATCGCTGTCTGTGGATAGCTGCAGCAAGGATAAGGAGGTTTTGTCTCCCAAAAGCCCACCACTTGGTGAGTCCAACCCAAGCAGACTAGAAGCAGGGCAGGCTCCCAGCCAGTACCCCCCAGGACAAGCAGGGGGAGGCATCATCAGGGAAACATCTCCAGAAGGAGAGATAGGTGCATCCACCCTTGGAAGGCACATGGTTAGGGGTGTTAATCCAGCCAGCATGGGTGGGAGCTGGAGGTTTCCTCTGAAGCAGATGCTGAGGAGTTGAAGCCATGCAGAGGTGAAGGGCTCCTAACAGTATCCAACATCCCCTGAGTTAGGCTCATCCTGTTGAAGTCAGCAGGGCAGTTCTGGAGGCAGCTCAGGCTTCTTTGGGGCCCTCTGACCTGAGAACAGCTGTGACAGGCTATAATTGTCACCCAAGGAAGGGGCCAGCTCCATTCTGTCCCCACAGCTGCTGAGCCTGAGAAGAAAAAGAAGAGGGCTGCTCCTAGGAGAAAAACCAAATCAAGTGCCAAGAAGGACACCACTGTTGCAGTAGAGAAGCCAACGAGAAGACCCAGGTCTGGCACCTTGCAGTACAAAGCTTTGCTGTTTTTTGCTACTTTCAGGAAACAGAATTTTCCCACTGATTTCCTTCAGTCTCACTCCTTGCTTTGTCATAGAGATGCCATGTGAATGTCCATGTGGAGTCCCACCTCCTGGGGATACTCCAGACAAGACTTCTGACAGCCCCACATCAGGATGTAAATTGCAAATCCCTCCCTGCTCTCAGCTCTGGTTGTCTCCTGGTGTCTCCTCCCTGCAGGCACTTTGTGAAGGTTCTGCACAGCCCTGCCCACCTGCAGTACTTCAAGCAGTTCCTCGAGGAGCGCAATGCTGCTGAACCACTGCGCTTCTGGATGGCCATGGAGAAGTTAGCTGCAGAGACCAACACCAAGACAAAGAACCTCCTCGTTAACAGCATTGTCAGAAATTATTTCCATGGTGAAATCCCAGCTGGTAGGCACCCTCTTGCCCTGTACTTTACACAAGCTGTGACAAAGGCTTCTTTTCCTTGATGTGGGTGAAGATTTTAGATCCTCTCGCAGGGACCTGCCAGTTCTCCTTTCCTTGCCCAGTGTTTGCTGAGGTCTTCCACTGCCACTTGAATTTCTAGGAAGGTGGTCTGCTCTTTACCAGGGACCTCTGATGTTCTTGGAGTCAGAGTTTCACTCCCAAAGCATGCAATTAGCACAGTAGAGAAAGAAAAAGAGGTGAGACTTATCAAATTCAGTGAACAGCTGATGGGGTAGGCAGGCGGAGGTGGGACAGGATGCCACTTGCTGATGCGAGGGTAGGAAGAGTTGTCATGGTGGCTGAGGTGGCTGCTAATGGCAGGCAGCAACTGCACGTCTCTTCCAGAGGAACAGCTGGAGTGCAGCTCTTCTATCATCAAGGAAATAAGTGAGGCTGAAACAGTCACTCCCTTCATGTTGATGACAGCACAGATCTTCGTCCAGAAGGCAATGGAAAAACGATGGTGAGGACTTGGCTTAGATGGGTTCCTAGGTTCAGACACAAACACCCTTTCCTTACAGACAATGACTGCTACAAATGTATTACTCTATGAACCATCTATCAGTGCGTCAACGTCCCAGCTAGACCCTCACCCCAGCCTTAGATCTGCTGATGTCTTTAACCATGCAAGGGGAGAGCTCCAGTTCCCATCCCTTTCTCCATCCTCCTCCACAAATAGGAGTCCTATGAGACCCCAACCACAGGACTACCCCCCTCAGCTGCTCCCCATCCTACCCACCCAACCCCTGCTCACACATCTGGCTGTCCCTGATGCTCTCTGATCTCCCATCTTGCAGGTTTAAAGAGTACCAGGACCTCTTTCCCCCCAGTGACACAAGCAAGTCCAACCTTTGTTTGCGACACAAGATGGGGAACTTCAAGACAGACAACCTGGTAAGGAAAGACCTTCTGCTGGCCTGCTGTGGGTGTTGTCTAGGAAAGAGGAGATGCTGTGCATTAAGCAGTGCTCAGAGAAATGGGACGAGGGAGGTTAGAACTGGAGGACTGCTAAAAGCAGAGTTTAAGTTTTGTTCTCACAGGCTCCAGATTTAGATAGTGGCATGTGGCCAAGCAATTCACACTATCACCTATGGCCTCCAGGGGAATGCAGAAACACCAGAAATGATGGCTGGGTCATTTCCAACCCTGGCTCCCCATTGCTGTACCACCAACTGACGTGCACTGTCCTGTCTCTGCAGCGATGGGCATGGTTTGCCATTCAGAACATTGTCAGGAGCATCTGCAAGTTCCATCGGGAGATGAACAACAACAAGTGCCGTGTGGAGTTTGAGGACTTTCTCCGGAAGGAAGTAGAAAACGAGGAGGAAAGTATGGCTAGACTCCTGAACACCTCTCTTCCCTCCCCAAGGCAATCCTAGGTTTGGGAGAGATAAATGGAGGAAACTTGTGAGGCTCCTCTCCCATCCTCATATGTTCAGTTGTCTCTGCTGAAGGTGCACTTCTTCTTTCCTGCTGGCAAAGCACCAAATATTGCCTGCAGAAATCTGCACCGAGTGAGCAGAGGGTGGAAAGGAGGGCAGAGATGAGGAACAAAATGAGCTTGTCTCTTCTAGCTAAGAAGTTCTGGAGGTTAACAGTCAGGCTGGGCCCTTGGCCACTAATCCTAGTGCTCCCAGGCCCTGCACACTGACACAGAGAAGCCACAGGAATATCAGCACCTCGGTGATGGGGCTGGGAGATGAGAAGCAGAAGCAACATGGACATATATATACACACGCTCACACAATATCTGGTTTTCTGACATCAGTGTCCCTCCTTTCTCTGCTAAGTGAGTGCAGTGATGCTGGTGCATGTCTCTCAAGCAACATAAATGCAACAGTTTGCACACCTTCCACAATAAAAAGAAACACAACAGGAGGCAATAGATGAAACTAAGTTGAGACAAGGCAAAAATAAATAGAAGGAGATGCAACAGGGAGCCTTTCTACAAGGTGCTGAGCAAGAGGATGCAGAGTAGAGTTGGTTCAAAAGGACACTGGAAAAGCTGGTAGAGAAGAAATCCATTGGAATTGGTTGATATGCAGAAAGCCCACCTTGAGAAAGACGTACAAAATATTTGGAATTTGGAGAATGTTTTATATGGGAATAGTAACATATTTTAACTTCATTCTCCTTAATTATCCACTATGGCCTCTATCAGAGAAGGTGATGGCTAGGCAGACAGGCAGATTTTTGATCTAACATACTGTGGCCAGCTCCAAAGCAAACAAGGAACACAAGCACTCTATGGGTGCAAAGAGGAGGATGGATGGAGGTTATTGAGCTAAGAGAATGGAACACACTGGATGGATCTGAACATCTGAATTCCCTGGGGCCCCTATAGGCTGTAGTCTACCAAGGTACCCATCCCTGCCCCATCGCTGGGGGTGCTCAAGACCAGGTTGGATGGAGCCCTGGGCAACATGGTCTAGTATCAGATCAGAGTGGTTGGTGGCCCTACATGTGGCATGGGGGTTGGAACTTCATGATGCTTTGGGTCCCTTCCAATCCAAGCCATTCTATTATTCTAAGGTAGAAAAATACCAACAAATCCCCTGTAAGCAGGAAAGGGAAGCACAAGGGAGGTGAAAGAGTGGGATATAGCTCAGCATCAAATGCTCAGTTGCCCCCAAACCAATGCTATAAGAAGCAGGAGACAACATCTCTTACCCTCTCACAGACCTGCCCATGACCTCGACGCAGAGCAACAACACCTTGCGTTCCCATGCATCCTCTGCCAGGTCCCCGAGGGACAAGGATGTGGTGCTGGTGAAACGACAGATGTTTAACAACCAGCTCATCACTGTCAACTTCCTCGTTGACGACCTCCACTTTTACCTGGAGATCAACAAGTAAGCCTCACCAGTGCTCAGGTGCCTCCAAGTCTCCTTTTCTCAGGCCCAAATCCATTCTGGGAGCAGTCTGCACCCCTTGGTAAGGCAGAAAGCCTGGTGCATGGGTTCCTTTGCACATACTGAGGGCTTTGCTGCCATCCTAAAACTCCCCTCAGCAAGGCTGCTGGACACCACACTGCAGTGTGAGGCTCAACAGAAGTCTCATTCTATGGCTGCCTGCATCTAATCTGCTTGTGGCTACCTGCCCCCTAGAGAGCCCCAAACCTTCATTTTGGTAAATACTGAGCTAAACAAAACCACTGCCCAGAGAGGTGGTGGTGCCCCATCCCTGCAGACAGCCAAGGTCTGGGGCTTTGAGCACCTGATGGAGCTGTAAGGGACTCTGTTCATTGCAGTGCAGTTGGATCAGATGGCCTTTAAGGATCCCTTCCAGCTCAAGCAGCTCCAGGATTCTGTGATTCCATGCCTACCTAGCCTACTGATCAGGGAACTTGTCTCAGAGTGACACCTAAACACATGCTTTTGCAGGTTTTCCAAGCTGGCTGATTCAGCTGAAGCGTTGGCAGCCCGCAACGTGTGCACCAAAAATGAAGTTGACTTTCTCAAAAGGAAAGCTGCCATCATCAGCAAGCTCTTCCTGAGCTCTGATATTCCCCCCAGACTGCGGGTGAGATGCTGGGTCCCACCCAGGAAGCCTGTAGGCTGTTCATTGCTCAAGACCATAGCAGCTGCAAGCAGGTATAGGGAGAAAGAGACCAGATAGGGGGGTGGATCTGCTCCATGAATGCTCTGAAGCTTCAGAACACACTCTGGATCTTGGGAACCATCCCTGGGCTCCATGGGAACTGATCTATCACCAGGCCCACGTTAGCACTTGATCTGTAGCCACTAAGAACAAGCATATGGGCATGGAGATGGTGAAATCCCCTATCTGCAGGAAGGATGGTAGAGCTGAAGCACCAGGATGTGTGTAGCAATCTGCCAGATCAGTCCTTTCAGTCCCCAGAAGTCAATGTCATCACAGTGCCCTCCCCACACACTTACCTCTTCCCCTACAGTAGCAGTGGTTCTGTTTATCTCCTGTTTGGAAAGCATTTTTCCATGGAAATCCAGGAGGAATCCAACCTTTATATCCAGGACAGAAATACTGTAACTTCATAGGCACAGCTTGAATTGCACAGTGGGGTTAGGGAGAGAGACATACCTCTAGGGCCCACCAGGCTGCTCCAAACTGCTTTGGTTAAACAAGCTCCTTTCTGTGCTCAGGTGAACATCTCTGAAGATGAGAGAGATTTAATCTGGAGTTTGTCTTCCAAGGGGCTACTGAACCGGCTCCTCTACCACAGAGCCAAGGTGGCCATTTTCCCCATCCTGATCTACTTCTGGAAGAGGTACGAAGCCCTTCTCTCTGGGTTGCAGAGGCTGCACAGATGCCAGCCTCTGCTTCCAGCCTCTGGCACGATGTAAATGAAGACAAGACACTGCCCAGGATCTGAGCTGCAGATATCTGCTCAGAGGCTTGTTGTCATTAGCATTCCTCATGCAGGTTCTGCAACTGGAAGGTGATGAAGAGCTTCCGAGTCTACTCAATGGAAAGGGAACCAACCTCGTTGACCAGTATTAAAAAAGCCTGTTCTGAATCATCTGAGATCTACAGCCCAAGTAAGATGAGCGCCCGTTCCCCACTCCACATTTACTCTCTCATTCTTCCAGCACAGAAGCCTCCAGACCTGGCTTTTTGGTGTCCCGCAGTGTTTATGGACCCCCCACATCCCCAAATCTTCAGTGATGGTTCCCCATAGAAGAGCCAAACCCCTCCCATGCAGTGCACATGGCACGTTCCACTAATACACACAGCTTCAGCTACATGGGGCTGGAGAATGCAACGTCTTTAAAGCCCTTCCTTCCTCTCAAGTTCAGCCAAAATCACCCAGGGAGGTTTTAAGAAATTTCTTTAGGGAACAGGGAAGTGGGGTGCAGAGAGTTCATGAGGACAGAGCTGTTGCATAAGCCCTTTTTGCTTAAAAAAAAAAAAAAAAAAAAAAAAAAAAACCAACTTAAAAATACATCCCCTAAAAGAGCTGTTAAAGCCAGGTTACAAGTCAGCTGGGAGCAGAAAGAAAAGAGGCTGCCCAGAAACATGCAGGCAAACAGCAGGCTTAGTGGCACAGCACAGAAGATGCTTTGAGGATGTTTGGAATGGAGAAAAGGTTTCATGAGGGTCAGAGGGAGCACTCACCAGGACATCTCAAGCTGAAAGAGGGCAGATTTAGGTTAGATATAAGGAAAAACCTTTTGCAGTGAGGGTGGTGAGGCACTGGTTACCTGGTGATGTGGTTGGTGCTCCATCCCTGGAGACTGTCAAGGAGAGGCTGGATCAGGCCCTGGGCAACCTGATGGAGCTGTGGTGCCCCTGTTCATTGCAGGGGAGTTGGACAACGTGGCTTTTAAAGGTCGCTTCCAACTCTAAGGATTCTATGATCTCTAGGGAAAAGATCTTTTTTCCCCTCATCCTCTTACTTGGTTCCAATATACTAAACAATGCTAAACTGTGGGGGAAAAAAAAAAGAGAAACCCACAAAGAAAGTGCTGCTATGCGCTGTCACTCTGCCTGACAACCCGGCTCCTCGACTGAATATTCATTTGGAAATTGCCTAATTGATTTTTTGATTAAAGGGGAAACCAAAATAGGCACGTCCTAATCTTGCTTTGACGGCCGGGTGGGTGTCTTGCAGCACAGCGTTCCGCTCCCGTTAATTCATCACTGTCAGGCTGTGAGGCTCAGCTCGGCTCGGCTGGGAGATGCAGGGAGGGGGGGGGAGAACATGCAGGAGTCGGAGCTGCGGGCTCAGGAGCCGGGCTGTGGTTGCGGCCATCTCGCAGCCTGTCACCAGGCGTCACTGTGGCACTGCCGAGCCTCGCTCCGCGGAGCTCGGTGCGGTGATGCTCACGGGGGCTCGCGTCCGCAGCTCTCCGAATGCCATCTCCTTGCGAGGCAGAGCAGGGTGTGCCACCTCCTCCCTGCAAACGAGGAGGTGCGCAGAACTCGTATTTTTGTGCGAGCAAGCATTCGATGTCACCGCATCCCCTCCATCTCTTGTGCTCTGTAGGAGCCGAAGGGGACAACACGTCCTGCTGTTCCCCCCCCCACTTAACTGTTCCCTCTCTTCTCCCACACCAGGCAATCACGTCGTCATTCTGTTCTCGCTCCTGAGAGGTATCCAGGTCCTGCTGCCCCGGTCTCATAAGAAGGAGGAGTTAGAGGAGGAGCACGAGGGTGAGCAAAAGGCTGCCGGGATGGGAGCATAGATTTAGGGCTCCCTGACACATTGTGATGGTATCTGTGCTTTCCACAGGGTCAGAAAGTGCTGAGACGTCATCCAGCAGGTCCACCTCTGAGCCTTCAGAGCAGGTAGGTGGTTGCAAAGCAGCCACGTCCTCAGGCTCCACCAGCACAGGCAGCTGGAGCAGGAGGGCAGCCAGCTGGGAGGGGCTGTTTCCTCCAGCTGTGGGGCTGCTGGGTAGCTGTGCAGGATGCTGCTCGCCCCACAGCCTCCAGGATGGGGTCACACAGACACAAGCCACCTCCTTTTGCTGCCCTTCCTGAGTTTATACCACAGGTACTGGCCTATCCATGTCACTGAAGTGACTGATGCTACGTCTGGGTGGGCTGTTCCTGACTCCAGCTCTCTGCAGTCTTTCCCAGTAACACACTCAGAAGATCTGCAGTGGCTGCACTTCTCCCTGCTCTATCCACATTCCATTTGTACTTTTCACCCATGCACCAACCATCAGCCACTGACACAGTGCTTCTCCCCTCCCCACAGGATGAGGAAGAGGAGGAAGAAGAAGAAGAAACGGAAGGAGAGATATCCCAGCACAACAGCCATGGGGACATGCTCCAAGGAAGCTGAGCAGTCAGGACATGCTGCATTGGCTGTGCTTAATTTGCAGCAAGGCTGAAAAATAAAGCAACTCACAGCATCCTTCAGCCTCGTGCTAACACAGCACCTTGCAGGGACATGCCACTCAGGTGTATCTACTCAAGGAGATACCCATCTTCCAATCAGAGTCAGCTCATGCTGAATTTGGGCCTTTTTTGTTTGTTTGTTTTTTAGTTCCCTTTTTAAATTCCCAGTGCATCTAAATTTCCAAAGCACTAACCAAATCCTACCAAATGCCTTCATTTGGCCTTTTTGAAAGGTGAGGAAGTATGGCTGTGCTGAGCCACCAGGAAGCTGCAGAAATCCGGTGTACTTTGGACATCACTTCATGAAGCAAAGAGCAAAACCTTTAGCACACATTGCTGCTCACAGCTGCCTCCCGTGCAAACTCCATTGTGTACCTTCACAGCTATTTTCAGCTACATTTTAACCCTCAAATCCTAGAACCCGCAGCCTGGCAACAGCACAGGTGTATTTAAGGCAGGAGATGACGTTTCCTATTTGTCCATTAGGATTAACAACACTTGGCAGGATCAAACAAACCCAAAGTCCAATGTTCTCGTAAATGAAAGACTTCTCAGGAGCTGCAGCAGCTTCTTACAGCCAGCTGCATGTCCAACCAGCTCCTCAACACTGCTCTTGTGCTGCAAGCTGGGTTTACTCCAGGCTTCCAGCCCCAAAAGCTAGCTGCACTGCATCAGCCCTTAAGTCACAGCATGCATACATGGTGAGCCATGCATGCATCAGTGCCCAGAGCAGCAGCTCAGGCACTAACACAGTGCAAGCACTGCACTGGCAAGCGAGCAGAGCCATTGCATGAGCACACTGCATAATACGAGTTGGGAAGGTGCAGAAATCTGACTTTGTTTGCACTGCAGAAGGCAGCTCACAGCCAGGCTCAAAATAACAGATGTGCCTGGATTTCTCGTGCACACACACCAAGATGTGTGGCAATCAGGCTCACGCACGGCACTGCCTGCTGGTTTGCAAACACGAAAAGATATCAGCACACACAGCTAAGCAGATGCACGGGGCTCAGTGATGCATTCTGACAGTCACTCCCTTGGAGAGGAGATGGGTCAAACACACCCACTCTGAATTTTGCATGTACACAAGAGCACGCAAGCACTGATTCATCTTTACACATCAACTCAGCCATGAAATCCTCAGCCCATGAAAGCAAAGCAACAATTAGTTCTCCATACAGCCCATCTCCCAAGAGATGTTACGCACCCAAGGAGAGGAAGCCTTCAGTGCCCAGCACAGCTTTAGAATGCTTTCCTCTCTCAGGGAGGAGTGGGGTACCTCATTTACAGAAGAGCATAGGAAATGTCAGTTTTCCAAAGAAGTTTATTCCCAGTTTGGCTCTGTATAGGCTAACAAAACACCAATAGGTATTTCATAGCATTCAAAATCTTTTCAGCAGCTAGAAGATATTCCATAAGCACTGTGTAAACATTGTGCCACCTCCTGAAAGCTGTTAACAGAGAAACAAGCAACCCTTGGGACAATGAAGATGCCACAAGGTCTCCATCTCCAAGGGGTAGTCAAGCCCAGAGGGATAGGGAAGTCACTGAGCTAACAGTCAGCTTGGCTCCTCTCCCAAGCCTATGGTTCCTATACCAGACACATCTTCTGAACATTATTCCATTTTCTCAGACCAAGTCCTCTGTGCTCTGCCCCTGCCTGTGCTCTCATCTCCTTACCATTTTCTTCAACTCTTATGCAGCTGAAGGAGGCAGAGAAAGTGGGATCATCCATGGGATGCGAAGCAACGGCCTCCTATGAAGAAGGGTCCTGAATGTCTATGAAGTGACTGTACCTGGGATGCTGGCGTAAACGGTTGTAGGCATAAATGGTCAGTTTTGGAAAACGTTTCAGGAAATACTCAGCATAGTCTCCTGCTATTTCACTGATCCTGAAGGAGAAAGAACAAAAAATAAAACAAAAAAATTAAAAAGGTTTCTAAAAAAACATCCAGGGAACCCATGATGCCTCAATTCCTCCCTCGCAGAGAAAAAGCCATTCTGATAACACAGGAAGGTTTCCTACGAGTCCTTGAGCTGCAAACATTTCCATGCTTTCCCGAAGATCTGCACTCTACCTTTTTGCTATTTCTCCAGCACCTCTACCTGCATCTTCACAGAAGAGCAGTGCTGGCCACTGGCCGTGAAAGCAGGACTTGGAGTTAGAGCCTGTGTCACCAGAGACCTCTGGCCTCAGATGTGAAACGCCCATGGTTGTAGAGGGTTAGGCAGTCCAACAGCTCTTCAGGAGCACTGATTGAGCCATTGGCTGCCCAGGATGGTGGTGGACTCACTATCCCTGAGATTTTCAGGGATAGTGGGTAGATGGGGAACTGAGTGGCACGGTTTAAAGCATGGGTTGGTGGTTAGATGGTCGGACTCGATGATCTTAGCAGCCTTTCCAACCTTAATGATTCTATGATTCAAACTCAAGCTCAGTAACATCAGCACTTTGGAAATAGAAGTAAGCAGTAAGGTACCTCAAAGAACAAGGAAGGGATGATACAAATCTGGGAGCCAGATGTTGCTTCAGAATCTGAAGTTTAATCACAGAATCACAGAATTGTAGGGGTTGGAAGGGACCTCCAGAGATCATCGAGTCCAACCCCCCTGCCAAAGCAGGTTCCCTACACCAGGTCACAAGCTTCATTCTCACCCTCAGGAGGTGTTACACAACCCTTTATACGCTACTGTGCTGTCAAAGGAAGCAACCCCTGAAAAAATGAGTTTTGATGAGCTTCCTCCCATATCCTGGGTTCCTTTCTAAAGAAGATTTTGCACTAAAACTCATTGATACTTACAGATATCCAACAAAACAACCGTGGTGGGGACAAGCATGTGAACACGTACCTCTTATCAGGGTGCTCATCCAGATTTCTGATGAATCTCAGTAGGTGTGCAATGCTTTTATTGTAGAAGAATTTTTTTCCATCCCTGGGAGTCGTCATGATGCGCAGAATCTTTTGATCAATCTGAAATAAGATTACAGATTATTTATTCCCTGCCTTTCATACGCACCATGAAAGCGGCACATCTGCTTTTACTTATCACCACTCCTGCCTTTCTGCAGAGACATCACCTTGCGTGGCTGCACTCTGTGACACTTATAAGCATGTTGACCAACATGAGCTCTGCAGGAAACACATCATACAGACTCCCTGATCCTGCCTGGCCAAGGCATAGCATTCATATTAGGACTGTCAACATGGCAGAGTTGATTATGAACATCTACAGGTCTAGAGAGGAGGAGAGAATCCAGAGTCTTGGTCCAGCTGAAGAAAACTTCTGGTTGAAGATCTAGCTCCAACCTCACATCAACCCAAAGAGAAGAGGTTTACCTGTTTAGTCCAGTTTGGGTAAAGAATAGGTTTTCCAGCATTGAGAGTGTTAAAAGCATCCTCTTTATCATCACCAGTCAGATCCTTGATTTTATTCCATATATTCTTTAGGAAGTTGAACTTCCTGCAGAACAAGGACCTTCATTAGTTGCAACAGCCAACACCATTCCCAGCATTGCAGGCAAATCCTGCACAAACAACTTGTCTTTGTGCTCTTAGGGCTTACTTCTGTTTGCTCCAGAAATAGGGGTGCTCGCTCAGACCTTCCAAGCCCCGCTCATCATGAGAGGCCAGGCTAACAATAAGGTCCAAAGCCTCCTCATAATCCATGGAACCCGCATCCATATCCTTGGTACTGACTTCATTAAGGGGTTTCCTACCCCTTGTTAAAACATACAGCATGAGCTTGCTGAGGTTCTGCAAAGAAACAAATCAAGACATGTAAAGGTTCTTATCAAATGGAAGAAATGGGACCAGTATTCCTAAATGAGCAGAATGTATACATGGGTCTGCAGGTGTGCACAACTGTGCAAATACATATGGATAGGAACTCTGAAGGTTTGTGCACAATGAGATGGGGCAAACACCATAAAGCAGATCCCAAGGTGTCTGTAGGTGTCTGTAGAACCAGCCCAAGCCTTACATCTCCATCACTGCCATTCTCATATGTGGTCTGCTGTGACATGGGCTTGCCCAAAAAGCAACACATCTTCTAGTTGAGGATGCACAAGAGATGCCCTTAGAAATCACAGCAAAGAAAGTATCAGAAATAACCTGAGGCTTGAAACCATACATTGATTGGGATGGAAGTTACCTCTAAGTCTTTGTTGATAACTTCTGTTTTGCCTTCAGTCAGCTTTCTGCTGCTATCAAAATCCGCCAAGTAAATTTTGCCACCTAAGTCTGGGGAAATAAGAGAACGTTAACAAGTGAGGAACATTGGTACAAGCTTGTCACTGCTTTCTTTAGAAAATAGATCTCTGGAGAGGCTGCTGTGGGTTGTGCTATCTGCAAAGCCCAGAAATGTAGATCTAATGAGACATGAAAGCTACTCTATTCACTCCCCCAGGGCTATCTGGAACACATCTGTGCTTATCCAGAGAACTAATTCTGCATAAACACATCTGCACCGGCCTTTCATATCTGACTTAGGATGGGAGGTGTCAGGCAACAAGAAACAACAAAAAAACCTCACCAAAACAACAAAAAACAACCAACCTATCAAGAAATCCTTGGGATGCAGAGACTGGTGAGCAAACCCGAGTGAGTGCAGCTCTCTCACTGCCTGGAAGATCATCTTCAGGATGCCTTTGTAATCCTTTTGGTCTTCCGGGTCCTGCAGATGTTCTTCAAGGTTTTTCTCCCAGAGAGGAAAGCACAAATACACGCAGCCCTTTTCTTGCTCAGACTGGAAGAGCTTCAGTAGATGTTCACAGCTTCCACATTGGCCAAGGAACGTTTTCTCTTTGCCACCTTCTGCACGGTGGTGTATCCATACCGCCACCTCCATCCCATCATAGAGCCCAAGGTAGATGTTATCCTGAATTCTCTGAGAGGCGTGCTGAAATACTTTTAATTTGCCAATCATGGGGCGATACATTTTATGAAGACTTTGCAGCTGTTGCCTCCAGCGTTTGCTCTTTGGCTCCAAGTAGTCAGGTTTTGTTGGAACAAACGTGGTGTTATACTTCAGAAGAAGGCATGCCATTTCACTAGCACGGTTCCTATTTGCAACAGCAATAAGTTTCCCAATGTCAGTCCTTGCACCTTTTCTACACAGCATCTCTGCTATATCATATGTGTTTTTCTCTACAGCCACCGTCAGAGCTGTTTGGCCATCCTCACCCGCTTCATCAACTTTTATGTCATCCCTGTCCAACAGAGCTTTCACCAAACTTGTATTCTTCCTTTGCACAGCTAGAATGAGGGCAGTTTTGCCAGCTTCATCTTTGCAGTTGACATCAACACCACAGTCCAGCAGGAAACGGCCTATTTCAAAGACATCTGACTCATTTTTTCCCCTTGCATTATCCTTGAGGGCATGGATCAAGGCATTCCTACCTTCATTGTCACAAATGTTCACGTCAGCCCCCATCTCCTGGATAAGAGTTTTTACTACTGAGAAGTAGCCTCCCAAACACGCATCCATTAGTGCAGTCTTCCCTCCTTTGCTCAGTTTCTTCTTCTCCTCACTAGCTGTCCTCCCCAAATTCACATCTGCTCCTTTGCTGTGCAGGAACCTCAAGGCTTCCTCCTTCCCATACCAAGCAGCTTCCATAAAAGCGGTGAATCCATTATCGTCACTGTCATTAATGTTAAACCCACAACCAAAAAGCAGCTCCAGTATTTCCACGTTTCCCACCATCGCTGCCTCAATAAACACAGTGCCACCGTTATCCTTCCTGGCGTGTGGACACGCACCTTTGGCCAGCAAAAGTTGGACCATCTCCTTGTCACCAGATTGCACAGCACTGTGAAGCGGTGTCCATCCAAATTCTACTTTAGAGTTGACATCTGCCCCATTCTCCAGCAGCTCCAGTACCTTTTCCCTCTGGCCATATCGCAAAGCATCATTTAACTCAGAGGCAATGTTTTCTGCTCTCTGCATGCTAGAGATGGTAGATGCTTCCTGCTGACTGTGGGCTCTGGGCTCCATGACGGTCACAGGGAGGATTCTGTACCCTGGTGTTCCTCATCAAACAAACATCAAAGATCCAGGGATCTCAGTGAAGGACAGGTTAAGTGCAACACTCAGTGTCTTCATCACGAGGGGTGCTCCAGGTCTGGCTCATGGAATGCACTAGGTGAGATATTGGCTTCACGGTCTTCACCTAATTAATTAGCAGAAGACCCTATTTTATTAAGCCATGAAACCCCATTGTTTACACTGATGCCTTGCAGATGTGAGAGGAGCAACTAAGGATAGTAATGCCAACACTAGCTGAAACAAGCATGACTACAGCATTTACTGGGGCACACATCCCCCACTCATCCTCATTGCTTGCCCCACTTCACTGACCACAACACAAGCAGGTGCCTTCCATGGGGCTGGCACATCTGAATGAAGGGATGGGGTGAATTTCAGATGTTCTTGCTATTAAAGTCATGATGGATTATCCTACAGGTTACCCAATAAGCTGGTCCCTGATGTTCTCCCCATCCAGTTGGAGAACACAGCATGCAGGCAGAAACAAGCAGAATCCTAGATAATTAAATCTGATCTAATCAGAAAAGGGGCAGAGCAGTTTTTAATGCAAGAAGCCAAAGTTTAAATTCACAGCAGTGTACCCTCAGGAAAGACAAAGATCCCGTTCTCGTAGGGCTACCCCCCACCCCCCCCCCCATCTTCCCCCAAACCACAAAGCAGTAACCGAACTGAACTTCACTGACACCCCCACCCCTCCAGCACAACAGGGCCCCACCAAGTGCCCCACCACCACCAAGAAGAACCTGCAAGCTCTGGAAAGTGAAAGAGGGGAGGAGAAGCTTGCAAAATGGAGGTCTATATCTGTCCTTCTCTTTTTTTTCCTTCTTCCTCTTCCGAGATGCAGAACAGCCCGCCCAAAGGAGCGTTCAGCATTTCTGGCCCATCCCACTGGCTCTCAGCCAGAGGACACGCCAAGTCACACAGCCCTGCCTGCAGTCACCCATTGTCAGCCGTAACCACCAGCTCCAGGCAGACAAGAACAGGATTCTCTAATCAGTTGCAAGCCCAGCAACAGCTTAAGACAGCTCCAGAGCCAGGGAGCAGCTTTGCCAAGAACAAGCTCCCATAGGATGGAGCAGCACCCAGAAGGATAGTGCTCACTTTTGGAGGAGAAAAACAAGCTTTTGGGACGTGTGTTTCAGCATGTGCTGCTTTCAGCATGCAGCAGAGGTCTGCAAACCTGTTTGCAAGGTTCCATCCTCATGATCAAACAGAATCTCCTAAGTTTCACCCAGGGGATCACCAAGCCATGTTGGAAAAAGGCAGCTGCCCCCTACATCATTCTTGATGGCTGGCTGTCACCCCAGGATCACCTTTTATATCTTCCCCTCCTACAACATCACTCAAGGTAGCCTGCTACAGACTCAGCACAGCTTCTTCACCCAAGGGAGTACCAACTTTTAGATAACTGTGGACAACTCTGCCATAGCTCAGTGGTTACCAAGCTGTTAGCCAGTGGACGTATATAGTACAGGCATTTTCAGTCTAGCTGTCCAAGTATCAAAGAATCTTTAAGACTGGAAAAGACCTCTGGGATCATCAGAAATAATTAACTCCCACCATGCTCACTGCCCACATCCTTCAGTGCCAAATCTCCATGGTTCTGGAACACCTCCACCACCCTCCTGGGCAGCCTGTGCTTATTTATGGTCCGGAAGCCTTTTTTGAAGAGTCATCTTTGGCTTGAAGCAGGCCTGCGTTGCAGCTCTTTGAGCATGATCCTTGCAACCTATTATTAAAAAAAAAAGAAATCCAATTTACAACACAAAAATACCAATGTCACCCAACTACATTAAAGCAGTTTGCTGTTTAATAGCGTAAGGATGAAAGGGAGCCAGCTCTGACAGATGCACCATCAGAAATTGTTAGGCACAATACAAACCATTTGTAAACAGCATTATTGCCAGCAAGACATAGAAACAGACTCAGGGTGTCTCAGACACTACAACAGCTTTTTGGGGGCTGCAGTGCAGAAGTTCAGCTTCACGGCATGACAGTAGACACAGTAGCATCAGGATCACAAAAAGAAAAAGCCAAGCTGAGGACAAGAAGCAACCAAAGGATGGAAAAGCAATGGCTACCGTGTTGTATGCCTGCACACCAGCAAAGCAGAGGGCTCAGGAGATGGTTTACGGACTCAACAAGAAGGGAAACAAAGCACACAGTGATGCAAGTCCTCCTGTTCCTCCATGCTGATGGACACACACCCAGTTTGCAGTTCTCCCTTGAGATAGCATCCACGCACTGGCCACAAATAAACATGAGCTAAAAGATGACAACAGAAATTGCCTGCTAAGTCAAAATAATTTTTAAAGAAGCTAAGAATAGTAAGGATGGGTCTTTTTTCTCGTGTTCTTTGTACTTCCTTCCTTATTATATTTCTAACTGAGAACATCTAAGGATTTATATGCTTGGCCACACTACCATGCTGGAGCAGAGCACTGGAAAATAGCCTACAGGAAGATGTGACCTGAACCATGGCAGGTGGAGCTCTGAATACAGAATCACTATGGATGAAAAAAACCTCTAAGATCATCTAGTCTAACCATCCATCGACTCCCAGTGTTGCCTACTATATCACTCCGTGTCACAACTCCACATTTCTTGAACACCACCAGAGATGGTGACCCCACCACTCCCCTGGGCTTCCTGTGCCAATTCATCACCACCCAGAGAAGAAATATCCAGCCTGAAGCACTAACCAAAGCTCATTCTGCAGTAGAGCACTGCTACACTTCCCATCTATACTTTCTTCTCTTCTGGGCTGCTACACTGTTCTCATTAGTAAAAGAAAACCAACTCTAAACAGCACATCCATCAGCAAGTGGGCTCAAGAAGAAGTGAGGGCAACACCCAGGCATACAAGCACCCTACCAAGCAGGTCACCATCCACAGTGCACGGACAAGAAGAGCAGAACAGATCCATTGAAGGCACCCAAAGTAGGTCAGATAGGCACCCAACCTGAAGACGTAAACTTAAATGCATTTCCCCAGCTGGGAGGGGGATCCCAGCACTGCTTCTCCCATCTATTTTCTACCCCCTGTCCTTCCCCACCAGCTGTGCCTGGGTTGCAGCTGCAGCACATCAGAGCCAGCATGGAGGATATGGCTGCAGAGCCCAGCACCCTGCAGTGCCAGAAAACAGGAATACTGCCCTTCATGTTGTAGCATTTATTTGTAGGTTGTCTTTCCATAATACATAATGGGTGAGAGTATGTAACCACATATCAGAATGTCCCTTCTGATCCCAAATTCCCAGACCTTGCCCTGGGAAACTTTGGCCATGGTTTATGGGAGGCTTCAGCTCTGCTTTCTCAAGGCGGGTCTGTGGTTTGAGTTTTGCTTTTTGGGTTTTTTTTTGTTTTTTTTTTTCCCCAAGGCTTTGTTATATGAGCCTGGGGTTTTGCCAGCAGTGAAGGATGTATTAGATGCAAGCACGTGGTTTTGTCAATGGAGTTTTCTCTTTGTGAAATGAAACAATGCCAATATGAGGGTTTTTTTTTTTTTCTTTGCCAAATTGACTTTTTTTTAACAGAAAATCACATTTGAATTAATGTCAGAGTGTGCAAGACAAAGTATTTTTTGTTGTTGTTGTTAGGCCCTGCAAATCAAATGGATGTGATTTTGTTTCTATTTGCCTCAGTGCCATTTGTTGCTCTCACTGAGTCTTTATTTCTGGGTAATTTAAACACTGGCTATCTTTCACCTCATTCCTTGAACAAAAGATAAGGTGGGCAGCTTCCTCTCTCTTCTCCATTTAGGTGCATGACAATTGTAGAAGAAGAGCTGATGTGATCTTTGGAATGTGTGGCCATGCCAGAAGAGACAGGAGCGTTTGTTATGGAGGCTGTTGCTTGCAAACATCACTTCAGTGGTTGTGACCAAGTTGTGTTAACAGCATTGCCTTGGGATCTGAGTGACCGCCATCTGTAACACAACTCTTCCTCACACAGCACTCATGCTCTCCTCAGTACAGCTCATTTTGCCTTCCAATAAATAGAAAGTTGGAAGTTTAAAGGCATGCTTGGTTTGGTTGTTATTTGGGGCAGCACTTGGATGAAGCATCCTGGACCTTGGAAGGCAATATGTTCTCAGCAGGAGTTGGGTGGTTTCCAACACCCTTCCTGGTACCATGAGGAAGTTTTACTCTTCACAGTTTTCCCCTTCCCTTGCTGTGTTTCTCAGGTCACACGTTTCAAAGGAGCCTCAAGCCACAAACTGTAAGCAGCTTTCCCTACATGTCTGCTTTGCAACGGCCCCCCAAAGGCTGAAAGAGAAAATCAATGGAAAGCCCACAACCAGTAATGGTGTCACAGCATTGCCCTCTTTGTATTTTATTTTGTAACCATGACGTCATGTTCGTAGCAAAAATGGACCTCTGTATGCCATTCACTTCAGTAACACAACGAAGGTGGTTCCAGTTGTAAAAGCAAATAATAAATAACAAAACAGCTCAAATAGCCCCGTGAATGCAGCTGGGACCCACCAGACTCAGAGGTAGAAGCGGGAAGAGGACCCAGAAAAACATCCTTAAACTGGTCCTTGGGGTTCCTCAGCTGCAAACCGGACAGGGCAACACCAGACCCAACTGTAAACCAAACTGTAAACACAGCTTTTACCTCCTAAGTGATTTAAAAATAAGTTTTCAACACTCAAAGTGCCTTCTGCACTGCTATTCTCTGCCTAGAACAAGCTGCTAGCCCACGTGCCGAGGTGCCGGCCACAGAGCTCTATTTAAGGGCAAAAAAAGGGAAATGTCACGAACTGCAAAGCATCCTTTTATGGCCATCAATGGTCCTCCATGCTCCCAGGAAACCTCAGACCCAGTTCGGTGCAGCTCTCCCTGCTGCTATTTGCGTACCTTGCTCCACGGATGCATTACAAAGCTATTTTTCTCTCTTGCAGTTATTATACAGAAGCCGTGGGAGGCATGCTAAGTGCTGCAATACCTAAAATAAATTAATTTACAAGCTCCTCCGAGCAAGGGACGTGCGCATGCTTTGAGCAGTGCTCTTCTCATAAATACACATCATAACAATAGCCACAAAATAAATAATAACAATAATAAAAATGCCTGTGACCTAAGTTCGGGTGCAACCTGCAGGCCACAAAGCTTAAGGAAAGGATAGAAAAGTCACTGCGCTGCTCCCGGGCCCACCGCTCTTCTTGCTGAAACATGGGTGGCTTCAACCCTGTGCAGCCCAGCAACGGGACCACCGGCAGTGGGGTGGGAAGGCCTCTCCATAAGGCAGCCTCAGTGGGAGCACTGAAGATCTTGGGCGTCCTGCTGGAAGGCTGGAATTTCGGCCAAAACTCCACCACCAGGCCCTAGGCGCCCGCCCAGAGCGGGTTTGGTGCTGGGCACGGGTCAGGTGTGCAAGCGCTTGTTGATGCTGCGGCTGGCGGCCTGCTTGGTCATGTCCTGGTAGGAGGCTGATTTCAGGAAGCGGGGGTAGGAGTCCTTCTCCATCAGGGTGCGGGTCTTGGCCTGCGCCTCGTTGAAGCAAGCGGAGGTGGCTCCCGTGAGGTTCTTCCTGGTGATCTCCCTGGTTTCGTGGTCAATGTTGACCTGCAAGGAAGGAGTACCCATAAATGTTAGCTTAGCGCTGGAGAGGAGCAGGCTTCTCCTAATGAGGGTGAAGAGGCAGGGTCATAGAATCATTACGGTTGGAAAGACCGCTGTGATCATCAGGACCCACCATCAGCCTGTGCCCCTGACCGCTCAGACCATGCCTCAGACCACACGTTACTCAGTGTATCATCTACCCTTGGACCCCCCCAGGGATGGTGACTCCACCACCTCTCTGGGCAGCCTGTGCCAGCGCTTCACCATTCCTTCTGAGAAGAAATTTTTCCTCGTATGAAACTCACAGGCCTTTACAGCCCTTCATTTTGGGTCACCACATGAGATTGGAAAGCTCAGGTGTACGAGGCCAAACCTTCCCACTGAGCTGAAATAGTATCTACCAAAACCCATCGGATATTTTAGGATGTTTTATCCCTTCCCCTTCCCATCCAGTGCCACGCAGCAGAGGCAGGGTCAGCTCTCACCTCTCTGGGTGCCTCGCTTTGGACAAACTCCTCAAAGATCCTGTTGGCTTTGGAGGCCAGCTTGGTTTTGGAGCGGGTCTTCTTGAAGTCCTCGCAGGCCAGCCAGAAGTCCAGGTTCTCCTCGCTAAACTCGGTCTTCAGGAAGGTGTGGAAGGCAGTCACCCCATCTGCAGCAGAGGGACAGGCAGTGAGTGGGGTTGGAGGGGAAGAAGTCATCAGGACTTGCACTGGGAGGTGATGGGGCTGCTGGATGTGGCATTGCCCACCGTCTCCCTGGGAGAGCATACCACAGCATCTGTGGATTTCCTTTCCCTCTGGACAAACTCCAGCCTCTGAACCTCTGCTAATTGGCCTTAAGGCTCCAATAAAATCCTTTCCCACAGACAAATAATCCTCCAGTTTTATTTATCTGACCTTTCTGTAATGAGTCTTTAGAGTGGTTTCTTTACAGCTTTGGAAAAGAGCTAATTCTACGAAGGGAAAATCCACTGAGATATGAGTATGCCTGCGGGAATCAAGGAGAGATGGCTTTATTTTTATTTCTCAGCTGGGATTTAGGGGAATGAGATGCTGAGGAGTATGGGAGAGTGCCTGCAGCAGGGGAACCAGGCTTGGGGGAATGTATTTATTGAGTGACAAAGCTGGAGATGTTCGCTAACCTTTACAGCACATGACGAAGGCTGGAAAAAGATGCCTGGCCCTAGACTAGCACTGTGGAAGGACTGTCTGTTGCCATGGAATAAATTTAAGCAAATACTTCTGTGTTCAGATTTGGTCTCCTTGCTGGCCCTACGGGTACAACGCCTTACGCGAACCGTATGAAATGCCGTGAATTTTGGAGAGGAAAATGGAGGTGTGCATCTCTACACAGCGGTTGAATGCCTTCTCTCTGTGTAAGAGTCATTGGAGACGTATAGAATGGGCAGACAGAGGGCAGCAATGTTTTCCAAAGGAATAAAATCCTGCATGAAAGCAGCTACATGGGCAGCAGACATGAGCCCTTTCCATGTAATGGAAAGATACCCTCCAGCTGAAGGTACGTGCCACTGCTCAGCATGCCCACGGCAATGCTCCTGGCCCACAAAGATATGAGACAGCACTTCTGCCCCCCAAAAACATCCAGCCAGAAGGGAAGGGTAAAGCCACAGGGACCTGGCTGCACACTGGGCATGCGGGCACCTTTCGAGTTTCTAGAGCAGCTAACTGAGGAGGAGACCTGGCTCCAGGATACGTCCTACATGCTCTTATAAAGAGGAAAAAACAAAATCCGACTCACTTTTACTCTTGAGGAGCTGGTCAAAGGATTCCCTCCACTCAAGCACCTCTCGTGAGGAGTCTCTGCAAAGAAAAAACAACAGGACATGAGGCTTGCCATCTTGCCGGCGAAGGATGGGAGCACTTCATTAAAGCAGTTCACAGATGAGACAGCACAAGAAGGAAAGCAGCAGCACCAGCAGGAAGCCACAACGAGACCCCAGTATCCTTTACCTGTGAGCCCTCTTTCCTTTCTCTTTTCCTCTTTCTTTTACATTCTCTGATGGCTCACCAGACCTCAGCTCCATAGTGCAGCTTTGGCTGGGCAGTCTCCTCTAGAGGATGCTCAGCAGAGCTCTTTTCCCTAGTAGCAGCCCAGCAGAGCCCCTTCTGCATGCAGACACCTGGCTGACAGCCGCAAGGTTCAGTATTTCGTTTTTAATGCTGTATGCATTCCATGGGGGACTCAGGCACGGGTTTGAGGTACCAGCACCTGTGGGAGCCCTCTGGCTTTCTAACTTGATGCTGAGCGCCCACTCTGCCTAATGCCGGTGCATCCCTCTCCAACCCGACTTTATAACTGGTGGAGCTGGGACGTGGCAGGCAGCGGGGCGGGACCGCCAGGACGAGCAGCACCGCATCCTCCCCGCCAAGCAGAGCATCCCTAGGGACAGCCCAGCCCAAGGGGACCCGCAGCCTCAGCTTACCTCTGCCTGGAGCCCAGCTGCAGCTTGCCTGCTTCCCTGCTGCCGTGTCTCAGCTCCGATTTATGCAGCAGGATCCCCAAGCGGGTCTTGAGTTCCTTGGCTCTGGAAGGGAGAAAGTGAAGAGGTTGGAATGTGGGGACTGCCACCACCATCCCTGTTTGCAGGGGTAGCCCTCTCTCCTCCTTTCTTGCTTTCTGCTGCATACGACAAGCAATCCCCTAATGGCTTTTTCTGCTCCCTGGCAACCGTGCTCCGCAGCAAGCTGGAAAAATCACAGCGCTCGCCTTCTGCTCAGCAGAGAGGGAGCATCTCTGTGCTGTGCTGTTGCAGCTGCTCCCCTGCTTTGTAGGGGTGCCACAGAGCTGTCGCTGTCACCTACCCCATGCCTTGGGGACCCGGACAGCACAAGGGCAGCCGTGCCAACTCAGAGCCAGATGAGTCCCCACCGGGTGTCCTGCAGCAACAGGGCAGGAGCTGCTGCTAAATCTGCTCCTCTCCCTTGAGTCCCCTGGCAGCGCGCAGCCCTGCTGCTATTTGCGTGCTGCAGCTCCTGCTGGCATCCCAGGGTGCCCGTGCAAAAATAAGTGCTTAAATGTCAGGGCACCAGCATTGCACGGCTTCGTAGCCATGTTTGGCAGGATGTCACCGAGTGCTGTGAGCGCCTTGATTAAAGCAGTGCTACTGCCAACCTGTGCTGAGATGGAGATGGCAGAACAAACGTCGTGTGCACACGGCAAGGTGTGGGGCAGCCTATGTGTTTTAGCTCTACATCCCTCCCTGGAAACCACAGCAAATCCTGCAGCCGTCCCTAGCTGTGAGTTCAGTGCAGTCTGCACCCTGATTTCTATCAAAACATCATGACAGCAGAGGCTGATCCGACGTCAGGAGCATCTTTTCCAGCTAACCCTCTGCTTCCCAGCGCTGCGGTGTGGCAAAGCCCCTTACCTCTCCAGGCAAACGATAGGAAGCGCAGCCAATCGTCGGCACATGCTGAGAGCTGGGCACCGAGGCATCCAGCAACTCATTGAATCCTCTGAGCACCACCTGTACTTCTGCGTTGCGTGCTGCTGGCTGGAATAGCGTCGAGGAGCTGTGCTTATATGGGGCGGGAGGGCTGGGAGGGTATCCGGCTCCACTCCAGCCTCCAGCCAACCAACAGCTGCTCGGCACCAGCAGAGATGATAACCGCTTGGGTAGGTGCAAAGGGAGGGGGAGGGAGGCTCGTCCTTGAGCATCACAGTCAGCACTGCTTCCTCGATAAGTGGAAAAAACAGGCTCGCATCCACCGACGTGTGCAGCCTGCTGAGTAACCGCGGGGACGGCGAAGGGGACAAGCAATTAGTCAGCGCCATCCCACCGGCTGATGACTCCAAACCCTCATCCCTGCATGGCGTGGTGGCATCACTGCAGCAGGGACACGGGGATCGGCACACCTTGCTGACCCCACAGCAGCCCCCGGGCACCACGCTGCTGCGCAGAGTGATGAGACATTCTGGCACTGCACAAAGTGCATCAACGGCCAAGTTCAAGGCTGGTTAAATGAGGGCTGATGTCTGCCCTCATCTGTCTTTTCATGGCAGATTTTTTGGGAGAAGGGGAGGGGAAGGGCACTGATGAAAGACTGAACATAGCGTGGGGAAACACTTGGTAAAGGGGCATCCCAATGGGAACTGAAGATGGAAAGAGTAGAGTTGAAACTCTACTGAAACAAAGACAAAGAAACAGGCAAGAAGATGGGAACTGAATGGATACTCCTCATCTTCTCCTTCCTCCTTCTCCCATTAGTACCAGCTCAGCAGTCAGCAGAGGCATCTTTCATAAACTCAAGCTGCCTCCTACCTTGCTGCCCCATTGCCAGCATCAATCCAACATAGTAATGGCCAGAGCTCACAGGAGACAACCTGCCCATGGCAGCGGAGTTGAAACTAGATGATCTTTAGGGTCACTTCCAACCTAAACCATTCTATGATCCTTCAGTTTCCCTTCCAACTCAGGATGTTCTGTGGTTCTATGATCACTGGCCCTGATGTTCCAGCCTTCACTTTGCTCTAGCCCCTTCCTCCCCACTGCTTTTCCCCATAGAAATAAGGTGTAGACATACCTTGTTCCCTCTGTAGCATCTTTTGAATGCTCAGATGAGAGAAGGCTGATGGAAGTCAGATGTTAGGAAACGTCTGCAATGGGAGCCTGCAAGCACCACAGGAGGAAGAGAACCTTTATAAAGCCTCAGCAGGAGGGAAACTGTGGAACAATCAGGGTTGGAAAAGATATCCAAGATTACCCTTCAGCCTGACCTATAGAGATCCACCACTTGTCCATTAGTATCACATCCTCATGTCTTTTCAATACCCCCAGGGATGGGGGAGTCCCCCTCTTCCCTGGGCAGCCTGCTCCAAGGCTTTGCCACCCTTTCCAGGAAGAAATTCTTCCCAAAATCCAACCTAAACCTAAAATCAAGAGCCAGCCGGAGGCTGCATCTTCTTGGGCAGCAAGGCTGCTCAGCCAGAAAATGCACAAAGCCATGGGAAATTATACCTGAGCCCCTGCCCTGCTGCCTCGGGGCAGGATTTGAACTTTCCCTTTCAGTGGGTGAGCTCCAGCATGGGAGATGGTCCGTGCTATATTTTCTAATGCACAGCTCTTCATCAGGGTTATGCAATAACTTCTGAGCCCAACTACGTGTGTGTACTCAGATGTCTTCATTCTGTTCAATATCTAATTTAATTACGTGCTTCCTGTCTCATTTAGCTTAGCAGCCTCCTGCAGCTCCAGCCTGTGTTCTGTGTTATCAGCCCTTGTTTTGGAACACAAAAACCCAGCTGTGTTGCAATGCCCAGGGCTGTGCCGCTTTCCCATCAACATGCTGCAACACTGGCAGCACGAAGCCCACCACCCATGGAACCAGTGTGGCCCTTCACATAACCAGCATGGTCCCAGCATCCAGCCCTGCTGATAAAAACCTCCCTGTTGCTATTTCCCTATAGGTATTTTTGCTGGAAGAGACGTGGAAGAAGGAAGAGGAGCCACGGTAAATAGGGAACAGATGTTGGGCGTGGGGAATGGGAGCAGGAGGGAAGGAGCTGAGGGGTGTGGGCAGAGGAGGAAATGCAAAATCATGTGGTTTGGTGGAATGGGAAGGGTACAGAAAGGAATGGGAGGTAAGGGGAGAAGGAGAGGAAGAGCTTAGGCACGTATGCATGGGAGACAGTGGTGGGTTTCCATAAGTCAGGCTGAAGGCTGAACTTGGTAATCTTGGATATCTTTTCCAGCCCTGATGGTTCTATGGTTTCCCTCCTGCTGAGGTTTTATAAATGTTCTCTTCTTCTTATGGGGCTTGCATGGCACCTGGTGCATCACAGGAGGGTGATGCTGATTCACCTGATTCCTTTCCAACTGATTGGGAGCAGCAGCAATCGGTGATGCTGATACCTGTAGGCCGTGCCCTGAGGGCTGTTTCTGCACAGAAGGCTGTTGGATGGATTGCCAGCCAAAAAAAAAAAAAGCACTCTGTCCTCACACACAGCATTGGAGGGAATCATTGCTCTGGAAATTCATAGCAGCATGGAAAGGGATGACTGAAAGACAAAAAAAAGAAAAAAAAAAAAAAATCATTAAAAATTAGAATTACAAATGGGGTTTTCAAGGGGCAGCTGTTACCCACTCTGCCCCTGCACTGCTTTGTGCAGCATGCAAGCACAGCTGTGTAGGGAGAGGTATCTGAGTATCTGACAGCAGGTATTTTTAATCTTCCCTTTCCGATCCCAGCACCAGCTCTGTAAAGACACTGAACAGCAAGGGGAAAAAAAAAAAAATTAAAAAAAGAAACAACAAAGGCAGCAGCTAAATATATCCTAACTGAGAGCAGAGACAGAGCGGCACTAATGGCAGATTCTCCCCTTGGATGCATGCAAATCGGTTTGGCTCAGGGAGAGGCTTAGAGGGAAAGGAGCTGCAGATGAAAGGAGAAAACAATAAAAGAAGATCATTAGGGTCAACAAAGTGGGATAGGAAGAAAACAGAGGGGGTGATAAATTGCACTGCAGTAATTCCTGTAGAAAAACAAGCTTGCTGAGGTTTTCTTTTAGAATAAGGCTGCAGCCCTGCATGGGCCATGTAACTAACACTCACCTGTGGGCAGGGAGGGATGTCAGGAAACATTTCCTCTCTCAAAGAGCAGTGATGCAGTGGCACAGCTGCCCAGGGAGTGGGGACTCACCATCCCTTGAGGTGTCACAGAACCATGGAGATGTGGCACTGATGGACGTGGTCAACGATGGAGATGGGTTGGGGGATCCTCAAGGATCCCCCAGGGTCTTTTCCAACCTGAAAGATTCCATGGTTCTGCATTCCTTCCAAATGGCCACAAGGCAGCGTGACCTGTAGGACAGCAGGACGCAACTGACCTCGCAGTTTTCCAGACACACAGGCACACCAAGGCAGGTAGTTCTCAGGCTGTTTATTTCACATCCTCGTGATGTCTATACAGTAAAGGTGAACAATGCATCGCGGTGCAGTGATGTGGCTCAGTGGGGAGGTGGTCTGTTCAGACAGCTGATGGGGTGAGGAGTTCCTCCAGATAATGAGGGAGGTGACCCTAGAACCTAATAAGCAGTTAATAGATAGGGAAGGTCCAACTGAACCCAAGCCTTCCCCATAGGGAAGGAATCAGGCTGAACCCCATGTCCTGCCCAAGCAGCTCCATCACCCAGTGGCACCGCAGCTCCCAGACACACAGGAGACAGTTACAGCATCAGGACTTATTAAAATAAAAACACTGCTCAGGGAACACCTAAAAAGAGTTTTTCTGCCCCATTCTGAAGTCACCCCATGCATTCATTCCCCTCCACACCTCCTCTGAGCCACTTGCAGTGATATTTCCTGAGGAGCACACATCTTACACCACTCCTTGCTCAGTGCTTGGTGATGGGGTCAGGTCCTTGAGGCTGTCATCCCAAAGAAGATGGAACTTAAGGAGAAGTCTGAACTCTGATTGTCTGATGGGTTTTGCTTGTAGAGAGAGGGGAAGATATGCTTCAGTCATGGTAATTAAGGGAAGGGGACCCACCCCAGAGAGGGCTCTTTAATTACCAGCATCCCACAGGGGGCTGCATAAACAACACAAAATGCCTCCTTCCCCACATTACTTTTCAGCTGTAGAGCAACGTAAAGACATTTCTCCCAGGGCAGCACTACTATCTGCACTGTGAGTGCAAAGCTGAGCTGCTCCAGATCTGCTGTGCTGTGGGTTCAGTAACAGCAATGGGTTGCAGGAGGCACCAGGTGCTCCAGAAACAGGCACTGCCTGGTCTCCTGTGCCCTTTTGCCAGCAAGGCTCTTTTTTTTTTCTGCACTAAGTTCATCCCTTCTGCCACCTCCCTCCCATCCACTCATTTCCCTGAACTCCCACTGAATTTACTGGAGCATCAAACCAGAGAAGCATCCTTCCAGTAAAGCCAAGAGGAAGCACAGAGCAGAACGACCGACTTCGCTGAGCAAATACACCTTTATTTACACTTCGTTTTGTTTAATCAGGAAGCTCAGAGGAAACACAGCTGCAGCCGTGCTGGAGCAGCCCAGCAGCGAGCACCAAGTGCAGCCCAGCTCCGTCTCACCCAGCAGCACGTGGAGCACGAGTGGGCACACAGCATGGCACAGGGATGAGAAAAGCCCAGGGGGTGCACAGATGGGAAAAGCTTTCTGGTCTAGCAGCAACACGTGGGTTCGTTCCTGCTTTAGGATCAAAATGCTTCGATGCCAGAGATACACCGCACTGAGACAGGAGACAACTGCAGCAGCCCCAGGGATGAAAGATGATGCGTAAATGATGGGGAGTGTTTTCTTCTTATATAACGCGCAAGGAACAGCTTCTCGGAGCTCTGTAGGTGTGTAGGCAAGACAAGCATCCAGGGAAGGAAAGGAAAAATGGACACATGGGTACAGAGGATATGCAAACAAGAGGCGGTGTGACCCAGGCTTGTGCTGGTGGAGGGGAAGGGCATGGACAGGAGTGCTTCAGGTGAGGGTGAGGAAGAGGAGGGACGGCCACAGGGACAGGACTGAAAACCAGAGAGGGGTTTGGGGGGAGAAGCTGGAGGCCCACGGGGGAGAGTCGCAGTGACGAGT